TATGTTCTCTTCCGAACTCATATAAGAATTTTGTTGATACTATACTCTATGGTAGGAAAACGATCACTGTGAATGATATGAAGGACTCTTTGACGTCTAAGGAACTAAAAAGAAACCTATGGGATTTTGGTCTAGTGTTTCTGATGTCGGGAAGGGTGATGGGTCTGAATCTATATTAAAGAGAAGACCAAAGAGGGTTATTCGACAACCTGATAGATATGTGGGATGTGTGAATTAAGGTGAACTTGACTCCATTTATTTTTCTTTAGAAACTGGAGAAAACATTAACACCGAGGAGCCTCAATGATATAAAGAGGTTGTGGCGAGTAAAGAAGCAAATGATTGGTTGATGGCCATGACTGAAGAAATTTAATCTTTAGCGAAGAATAAAACATGTGATCTTGTTCCATTACCAAAGGGAGCAAAGCCAATGGGATGCAAGTGAATATTTAAGAAGAAGGAACGGATACCAGGAGTTTAACTATCTAGGTTCAAGGTAACGTTGGTGGAAAAAGTGTTCTCTCAGAAAGAAGGAATTAATTATCACGAGGTGTTCTCACCGGTCATGAAGCACAAGACAAATCGGGTTCTTTTGGCCATGGTGAGTGCACTTGATCTGGAGCTTTAACAACTTAATGTGAAAATTGCATTTCTTCATGGGAACTTAGAAGAGAAGATTTATATGTTGCAGCCATAAGAGTTCCTTGATGCTAAGAAGGACCATGTATATTTACTAAAGAAATCCATGTATTGTTTGAAGCAGTCTCCAAGACAATGGTACAAGAGATTTGATTCATTAATGATCTCGAATAGATATACTCGGAACCAGTTTGACAATTGTGTTTACTCAAAGGAATTGTCACCAGATTCCAACATATATCTGTTTCTATATGTTGATGATATGCTCATCATAGCCAAAGACATGGCTGGAATAAATAACTTGAAAGCGACTCTAAAGAATGAGTTTGAGATAAAGGATTTGGGAGCAACAAAGAAGATACTAGGGATGGAGATTCAAATAGAAAAAAGATCATGGCGGTTATGTATTTCTCAACAAAAGTACATTGAGAAAGTTATGTAGTCCTTTAATTATGACCAGTCCAAGCTAGTTGGAACTCCTTTGGCCTTTGACTTTAAACATGGTCCAAACACTATACCCATTACTAATGAAGAAAGGAAGTACATGAGCAGGGCTCCATACTTAAGTGCTATTGGATGTCTCATGCATGTTATGGTCTGTACCAGACCTGATTTGGCTCATGCAGTTATTGTGGTTAGCAGGTTTATGAGCAATCCAGGGAAGACTCATTGGGAAGCTGTAAAGTGGATCTGACGATACTTGATGGGAACAAAAAAATTCTTGGTGTATGGAGCAAATAATAAGAGTTATATGATGACTCTGATTATGGTGGTGACTTGTTGAGGCACACGTCAGGGATGTGATACATATTCACTTTATTTAGATGTGCCATCAGTTGGAAGTCAAGGTTACAAGATATCGTTGCTTATTGTACAATTGAACCCAAGTACATATCCATGACAAAAGGAATAAAGGAGGAGATATGGTTGAAATGGCTTATTCATATTTTTGGTCTGAAGGTAGAGAAGCCTATCTTGTATTGTGACAATAAAAGTGCTTTGAATGTTGCAAAGAACTTTGTGTATCATGACAAGACGAAGCACATTAATGTCAGGCTAAATTTCATTCGTGATATTCTGAAAGGAGACAGGTTTTCAATACTGAAGATTGATACCAAGGTCAACCTAATAGATATGTTGACAAAGTCGTTGCCCATGGAGAAGTTCAAGATTTTCTTGGACTTGGTTAATGTTTGTAGGAGATAGGTCCCTTCGGGGAAGAATGACAGGAAGGGAGAGGAAGTTCTTATTTGAGGTGGAGTTCAGAGGATGATCAAATCAAGGTGGAGATTATTAAATGTGACTCAAGCATTTGGATCATGTTCGTGGAGCATTTGGATCACTTGGACCTTAATGGAGCACTTGGGTTCATGGAGTATGTGACAAAGGAACGAATCTCATGAGAAAGGAATGGATCATCATACAAAGGAACGAATCAAGGGAAAAAGAAACAGATCGTATAGAAGAGGGTTTGCACCATCTGGAAACAATTTAGAGCACTTAGGAATGATTTGGAGCAACAAGGGATCCTTTTTGCACCATGTGATAAAGGTATGGGCCGAGAGTGTTGTTCTTGCTCCGTCATGGCACTCCTCTTGCGCCATCATGTCCACTCTTGCACCATGAGGCTTGTTATTATGCCATGCATGGTCTTGTTGTGCCATGCATGTGCCTGTTGCTCCATGGTGATGCTGGTTCTTCAAGCTTGATGTTCTTGCACTACTGTTGATGCTTATTGCACCATCCATACTCCTTGTTGTGCCATATGGAGATGTTGTTGCACCATGGAGAACTTGTCACTCCATCATGGTACATAATGCACCATATTGATTCCTTTGTTGTTCCATGTTGATCCAAGTATGCCTAGAAGATGATAATGCTCAAGAATGTTCCAGAAGATGTTGCATGGCATATTGTGATTGGTTGACACCTTTCATGGACCTATAGGCCAATGGGCTTGGCCCATTAGGGTTTTAGGTCTGATCCCTCAAGTATAAATAAGGATGCATGCTAGGTCATTTTGTAACTTGAATTCTAGAGTGATAGGCGAATCTATGTGTAATTGTACTTGTAACCTCTGTGTTGAGAGCTCTAAAAAATAATACTCTCCTCCTACCCGTGGATGTAGGTCACCTTGACCAAACCACGTAAATATTGTGTCTTGTGTGCTTATAGTTTTGCTAGTTATCCGCTTTACTTCCTAACATAGGTGATGCTAGACCTTTTAGTAGGAGGTAATGATGGTTATGAGATCTAAACCCTTGAATTGTGTTTTGGAGTCGAAGGGTAAAACGAGAAAAATCATAGGTCATGTTCTTGCATGAAATATGTATTTTTGAGAAGTTTTTACTCCATGATATTTAGATAATATTGTAGAGATCTTCAATACCTTTCCATGGATATAAAGAACGTAGAAAATGAAGTTGGAATGAAGAAGTTACAACCGTTTGATGTTAGGACGATTTTTGGGTCATCTGCTTATGTTGCGCATAAATTAATTACGTTGGGAGTATTAAGTATTCCTGAGTACGTTGGGCGTACGCGATCAGTACCGAAACCTTATTTTCATGGTTTGAGCCCTATTTAATATGTTTGACTTCCGCAAATCCATTCCATTCTTAGCATCCACCTCCCCAACACCCTCTCTTGAAAACCAACCCTAGATTGAGCCTTGTGATCAAAAAAGAATGTCTTTTTAAATGCTTTGAAGAGTTATTGGTGCAACTTGGAGAATAAGGAACTCATTGAAGAATTATTGGTTGCATTGGAGCTTGTAGATCCAGATTTTGTTTACCTTTATCTTTCTCCTAGAGGTATAAAGTTTGAAGCTTGATGATGAAATTGTTAGATGTAGCTAGTTTTGAGTGTTATGAGGTTTTGGTCACTTTAAGTGCATAAACTTTAGATCTTGAAGGTTTATGAGCTTTTTATGGATAAATTTGGAAACTTTATCAATCTAAACATCATTTTGATTTAGATCTGAAGGTTAGAGACTTGGACTTAAAGGATTAAGTTGAAAAAGATGCACTTTTGGGTCCCTTTGAAACCTAAAGACTAGATCTTGTTTGTTGGGACCATTCGAATGGATAAAGTTGGAAACTTTATCCATTATGGAACTATTATGAACCATAAAAATATGATCTTATCCCTTTCGCCCCTTCCATATAAAAGTTGTGATGTCTTATTGGGTTAAGAACTTATAGTTTTGGTCAATAACAACCTTATATCCATCCAAAGTCATAAAGTTGGAAACTTTATGACTTAGAATATCATTTTAGGTCTTAGATTTGTGTTTTGGACGTAAGGGCTTAATGGAATATGCTCTTAACGGAGTTTTAGGATTGGGCTGCATACGTTGGGCATACCTGGTGGTATGTTGCGCGTACGCGGTCAGCGACTCGCTTTTGGTCAACATTAGAGTATGCTAGGCGTATTCTCTTGGTACACAGGGCGTACTCCGCTGAGAAGAAATATTGACTTTTAGACCTTGATCGATGACTTTGACTTTGACCAGGGATGACCTAGTTTGACCTAAGGACATTTTGGGTAATTTGATTTATAGTTTGAGATTTGGGTTCCTATTAATTTTATAGGTGACCGGTAGAGATAGCTTTTAGAGCAGTGATCGGTACAACTATTCTTTCAGACTATGAGGTGAGTATTTGTCACACCCCAAAACCATTAAACGGCGGAAACATTCTGGGGCGGAGGACGTCATGTACAGTATCACAACAATGAAAAGTAGTAAACAAGCAACAATAGCATCCATTGCATTAATAATATAATTTTAATACAAGTGTGTTCTGTCAAATTATAATAGACACTACAGTATAAATCAAAATGAAAGATGAGTCTTAAACGAGCACCATCTTCTCTAAACCTTGCATTGGTACCTGTCTATGGTTGACCTGAGGATACAAGTAATTTTGAAAGCGAGTATCAACTTTGAAGCTGGTGAGATCATAAGGATTTTAGTGTCTTAATTTGTATGTAAGAATTTGTATGTATAAGAATTGTAAGTATTGAAAATGCATTACTAGAAAAACAACCTTTAATGACGCGCAAACAATGACACGCGGTGATTTACGATACGCAAAAGCATACGTCCAAAAAGTAATGTCATCTCTTATAAAATTTGAAGGATAGAAGACACGCTTTTTGTGCGTGCCCTGAAATTAGTGTTAGAAAAGAAAAAAAAAATACGGAGGGCGCCTATTATAAGTGTGTGTCATGTAAGTGTGTCGCTTTATATTTTTTTTAATGAAACACGCGTTTTGAGCTGGAAATGAAATCCCCAAAAATTAAAACCCCGCCTATGTGAAGAATTAAACCCCCCCCCCTCCGCTTCCAATCAGCAAGAAACTTCCAATCAGCATGAAACAAGCCTAGGGTCTTCTTCTTCCTTTCTCTCTCTCTAACCTAAAACCCATCTTCTTCCTTCTAGCATTTCTCGCCGTTACATCCATTGGCGCCATCGCCACCACCATGCCGCTCTGTCTCCCTCCGTTTCTCAATCCGATGTCGCCGCTATACTTTATTCTTCCGGTACAACCGGATTGAGGATCTACGAATTCCCCAAAAATCCTTGTTGAATACATGCCTCTCGAATCAAATCAGGTAGAGGAGGACCTCGAGGTGAACCTATTTCGCATATTATATCCCGTCCCTATTCGTGTCAATAATACCTTCGGTGGTAGTTTTGTTGGTTCTGGCTCCGACGACTTCTATCAGGTTTTTGGTCTAGCATCTTTTAATACTTCATTTGAAATTGCAATCGACACTCGCCTCTTGTATTATTCCCATAATAATTCATGAATGAAATTGATAGGTTGTAACAATGGCTCCTATGGCCCTATTCAACCCTCTATCGTCGGTTCTCCTAAAAAAATTAAAGTCCCCATCCTATCTGGAACCAATAAACGAACAAGAACCTTTCTTCCTTTTCATTGTGTTTTGTTTCTTCTGGATGTCTGGTTAATTCTGATAATTAGGGCTTCCATTTTTTTCTCTTAGGTATCTTTATTTTCTCCTATTTCAACGACTGCACAATGATGCAATGCTACAAAGGAACGGAATTTGGGGAGCTAGATCCTCATGTTTTGCAATTGCAGATTCTGCTTTAGGTTATCTCCTCTCCCCACCTCTTTATTTTATAATGAACATCATTTAACTTCACCATAAAATGTCATTTCATTTTCCTTACACAGAGGATATGTGAGTTCATTAGAAGCTGAGAGTTATATTGGAGTTGTGCTCATTCCTAGGGTAAATAAAGGTGATCTGGTGCAAACGACAAAAGTAGGAGCCGATTGCTCAGAATTTTGGGACAACGAACGTGAAGATAGAAGTACATTTACCGATTTACTCTCCAACATGATTCACAGTCTTGTATATGATCTTATGGCAGCCTTACTTCTGCGTACAGGTCTCATGACTACTCTCCACTTCTTAGTTCATGCTCTCAACCTTTTAATTTGCAGAATTCACAGTTAACATTACACAATTCACATTTCCATTTTTCCCCCTTTCCTTGTTTCCTACCCCCCACCCCTTGTGTTCTCCTACTTTGCCTTCTACTATAGTGGTTTTTACTGATTCTAGGAAGGTTGTGCAATTTTTGTTTACGCTTTGAGGCTTATTTCCTTTCAGTAACTTCTTTTACCATCATATATTTAAATTTTTTTGCATTGAGTGTTTCTATTAAGGAATAAACAGAATTATTAGGGCTTGTTTTTGTGGGGGTTGAAATCTGTTAGGGAATTTGCCAACAGTCAGTTTTTCAAAACGTTCGTGGTTATGTTTGTTATCGGTGTCCTGTTTTTTCACACCATCAAGTTTTAGAATGTGATTACAATCCGTCTTTTTTTTTTTTGTAAATATGGTTTACCTTTTTGTTAATTGATTCTTATTTTTTTTAAAGAGCATGTTAATTAAATACTTACAAAATTTGATTCTTTACATATACCATTCCAGCAAATAATAGTTTTGTTAATTGGTTTTTTAAATTTACCATTCCAACATTTGAAGGGATATTCCACGAAAAAATTGTTTCTATCTTGATATCATACCTATGGTACAAAAATTGTAGTAAAAAATAGGAAAAATAAAATAAAATTGCTTTTGAACCTTGTGATTACAGATAAAGAGCATACACAGAAGAAATCCTACTACTATGCTTCAAAACCATTATCAAACTTATGCTTTTTAGCGTCATTATTTTCATTATTGAGATTAACATTTATTTGTTGGTTACTTTGTATCCAATTGCAGAAAGTAGTTGTGAAATTGGGTGTACACAACGATAAAGAAAAACAGAGGGCTATGAAAGCAACTTCCAGCCTTGCAGGTTAATATTGTGTTTGTTTTGTTTCCATTCTATTTGCATTTCAGTGCATCAGTTTGACTAAATTTTTTATCCAAATATTTATAGGTCTAGAGCCTAGAAGGATTGCTTTGGTCTCAGTGTATTAGTGAACTGTTTATAGGTTTGTGAATTTTACCCTTTCCCCATACTTCTCCTTCTGCTTCTGTTTCTAGGACTACTGTTTGTGCTAACTTTTTTTTTCTTTCTTCTTTTTGTTTTGTTTTCAGGCTTATTACCTGTTAGCGGTTGCTTTTACCATCATTTACAAAAACTAAACAGCATCCTTAGAACATCTCAGGTGTCTAGACCTTATACTATTGGTCACTCGTGTCAATTCAGACTACACCATCAACATACAAACTTGGTTCGCTTATAAGACACCATCAACATATCTTCCTGTTAATTATTTGATGTTGACAATCTGTAACTTAACTAGCCATTAAAAAAATAAAGAATATTGCTAACTGTTTCAGATTGTCTGGCCCTAGTGTAGGTTGGAACTTACTGCTGCAGAAAAGGATGGATTTTTCTCTGAGGTAAGTCCCTGAAGTAAATTCATCCTTGTTAAAACTAATTATTATAATTTTTAATTCATAGCTGGAAACTTCATTTTTTTGTGCCTGAAATTAATTGTAATTTGTTGGCTTCAGATAAATATGGCTATTGCTGGGAACCATGGACTAGAAGTGCAGTTCATTGGACTCAGTTTCCTTGAGTCACTGGTATATGTTTCATCATGTTATTGAGTACCAATTTTCATTTATACAAAGTTCTCATGCTAAAAAATAATGTTGCAGGTGTCTGAATTTTCTCCATCATGTTATTGATTATCTTAAGGTTTTTCATTTTGTTTATCATCATCTCATTAAACCATTTCCTATAACAACATATTTTCAGGAGCTGTTTATTTTCTTTTCTCATTATGTCCTGTATGGGTAATGATGTCTCTCTAGATAAAGTATTGTATACATGATGTCTGTTTCCAAACCAAATAAACCGTATGAATGAGACTAAATGACCATTTCACCCTTACATTCCAAAAGACAAATAGATTTTTTTGCTTGACCTAATAAGTCATCTGTCTAGTTTAAGTGCTTAACCAATTAAGCTCATTAAGTAAAAAAGAAACACCCCCTAGGTTTTTTTTTTTTTTTGAATGAGGTTTTCTGCTTTGAGTATATAAAGCAGATGGACTGCATGGCATTGCACTAAAATGATTATATATCCCACTTGTATGAAGTTCATACAAGTGTATAAAGAACAAAAGAAACTCAAATGTAAAGGATTTTGAAAGTTGTACATGATTGGACCCTATAAAAATTATCTTTTTGCTAACCAATTTCTCATATTTTATTCTTTTTCTCTGTTAATTCCACATAATTTTTATTGTTGGGCACTGGGGGCTGCACAAAATGTTACTACTAAAATTAAAAATTCTGATGCTTCTGTCTCAGAAGCAAGAGTTTGTACAACTGCACTCCATTTCATGCTTCAAGTTCTTAATTGGGACTTTAGTAGCAGTGGTAGAGTTGCAAAAAATAGCATAGATGTTTATTCCTTTGTTGCTAAAGAAGATACTAACTCCACTTATACACTAGTCCAGGTAATACTTTATTTATTTATTTTGGTTTTGTGTTACATTTGAAAGCAACATGTGCATTTTAGATACAAACTCCACTTATACATAGATGTAATTTTGTGGAATTCCAATTACAGTCTATGACATTTTACCATGAGTATAACTAATATTATACATTTCTTGAAGCCTGTCATTTCTTGCAGATATATTGTTTCATTCACTTAAAGAGACAAGTGAATGAAACTAAGAAGACAAGTGTATAACTAATATTACACATGCAGTCTTTGTTTGGCAGCTTGGACAAACTTGTAGCACCCGATCATTCATGCCACTCTTTGGTAAAACAAACTTATAGTGTACTTCTTCCAATTTCAGTCTTTGTTTCTTGTGCAATTTTATTTTAGGAGATATTTGACTTTATTAAATGTTTAAAGTTACAGGACATGAGTAAGGGCACATCTTGGAAAAATTTAGGGCAGTTGTTGGTCTTCCTCTTGGTGGTCCATCAATGAAGTGGCCAACTTGCATCATGTAATAACATTTTAGGCGAAGATGTAAGTATATATTTGTTTAATGAATAATGTAATCATATGTATGAATATGAAATAAAGCTTGTTATTTAGTATGTGATAATCATGTATAGGCAGAAAACAACTTCTATTGATATGTTTTATCTTTCCAAGGATCGATTATTTGTATGAAATTAAATTTTATGCAATGGATTATATTTTTTGTATATGGTATTTTATTTTATAATATGAGAAGTTAAATGAAAATCTAATTTGAAAATTAGAAAATCTATAAATAATTTTTTTTTTAACTTTTAAAATTACGATACGCAAAAATGTGTGTCGTCTTCATTTACGACATGGCCTTTCTTGACAGGGGCTTTCATGATACGCATTGCGTTTCATTAACACGCGCGTTGTAAGGTTACGACATGCGAATGCGTGTCATCTTCCTTTATGACAGGGCCTTCCTTGATACGCAATGTGTGTCGTAAATGCGCATCGTAAATGTGCGTTGTAAATGCGCGTCGTATCTCTTTATGACAGGGCCTTCCTTGACGCGCATTTGCGCGTCGTCTGAGCCTTTTACGACGCGCAATGAGCGTCGTAAAAGGCTGTTTTTCTAGTAGTGATGTATGTAAAACAACTGTAAACGTTTGAAAAACTCTAGAACTCCCTATGATTCCTACTATTATAACAGGGAGTCTTCTACCAAGACTTAACTGATCTATTTGTAGCCTTCTACCAAGGCATCTAGTGTTTGTGTGTGTGTCTCTTGTGAGAGTGTGTATTTTCCCAAATCTGACTATCATTAACCAAAAATATAGTTTCTACATTACTGTGCATCGTGTGAATGTTCACGAAGTGAATGTAATGGGAAAATGAAATAGTACTATGGTGTAGTGTCGAACTACAACCGTACTAATTGTTGGGATTAGTGTCTAAGTCCGTAACCATATTTGGTATGTACTTGACCCGAATGTGCATGGTCCTTTTGGGGTTGCCTTCACCAAAGCAACTTGACAAGGTAATTTGATATGATAGAGGAGATATTATGATTTATTAATATATTATAAGAATAATATATTAAAGGAGAAATCATATTTATTTGATTAGTATTAGTCATAAATTAATTAGGAATTAATTTGGTGACTAAAAGAGACAAATTAAATAAAGGGGTATAAACTGTCAAATGTGTGATAGTTGAGTTTTGGGCTAGGAAACCTAATGGACTAAGGGGGAACGAAATTATGATGAAAGATCATCATATTTTCGTCCAAGGCCTCATTCCAGAAGGTTCCTTGGGCTGCTTGGTGGCTAAGCTGTCCATTAGGGTTTTTGACTGAAACCCTAGCACCCTATAGTATAAATACATGCCCTATGCTTCAATTTGAGGTCACTTGATTCCAAGGGAACCCTAGGGCCGAAATTAGCTTCATTCCCTTCTCTCTCTTAATTGCCTTCTTGCTTCAAGGTGTTTGTGAGCCATTAGAGGCACTACAATTGTGGTGCTTGCTTTCAAGAGTTCTAGAGAGTTCAAGAGATCAAGGAAACTAGTTGTTATTGCTATATAACAACAAAGGTATGTTTTTCTACACTTCTATGTAAATTTCGAAAATTATAGAAGCATCCCAGGGTTTATTTTGTGTTCATATAGTTGTATGTCTTTTAGTGAAAACATAGATCCAATATAGGATTGTATGCACACATAGGATTGTTTGTATAAAACCTAACACTAATTACCTTAAGTCTAGGGTAATCTCGTAAGTACAGTAGTATTTGTAATAAGTGACTACCTCTGTACTTCTATTGCCTTATTTGAGGGATAAGGCCTAATGTGATGGCTAGATCCCAGGCTAAACGCTCCCCTGTCAAAGGGATTTTGGGACCTATACACGACGCCTGCCTGTATGCAAGACGTGAACATCCACATTACTATGATCATGTATACCCGATATAACTATCACAATGCGTTGTGATTCATCGGTATAGTTAGATCCTGAACCTGTCCTATGCTATAGCACCTAGTGATGTCTGTCCTATCAAAGTATATGTAACCGCACTCATGTAAACGTATATATGTAAACGTACTCATGTAAGTGTAATCATGTAAAAACATATCAATGTAATAGTATAATAATGTACTGTGTGTACTAGCTGTAATGTATGTTCTCTCTATCTAGCAAGTATTGACTCATGAATGAACTGACTCTTTGTTTGATATCGCGTTCTAGTAATAGTCCTAGTATCTTCCTAAACTACCCTTATGGTAGCTTACTATTAATATAATTGGTACGTATGAACATGGGCGTATACCCTTGCTACCCAAGGGTATTGAATGAACTGGAAGAACCTTTATGACTATATATGTACACATGATATATAACTAATATTTAAACGACTTTTGAACGGCTACCCGATATCCCACCAGACCACATCTCAAGCGCGGAAAGGAAATAGGGTGGATAGCCTTTCTAAGTCTTTTAAACATTTCTTATATAACTATACATATAAAGGCATGCAATTGATAATATAAAAGCATAAAATAAGTTTAGCAAAACCTTTGAACGTAATTATCATCTAAGAAACGATCAACTTGATGTCAATCTATAAAATGGTTTGAAAGCGTGGGTTTGATAAAACAGTTTAAGTATAAAAGAACATTTGTTCGAAACACAATTATAAATGAGTTTGAAATGAAGCGTACAGAGTAAAGTGTACAACTTAATAATGAGTTTTAATCATATAAAATGTTTATGAAAATCCTTTGAAGGAACCTGTTTGGTAAAATGGCTAATGAGTAGCCAATCATTTAAATGCTGCTTACTAATCACATGTGATTGATATAGTAACTAGCATAATTCTACTTGTATCCCCCCCCCCATAAAACATTTAAAAACAAATTAAAATGTTGATTAAGGGGTATGAACTCACCTGTTGTGGGTGATACGGATGAACTGAAGAGGTAGGACTATTAGGTGTCAAGTGAAGTCTTGAACACACTCTATGATCCTAGATAACATATAATTTCACATATATGTAACAAATTAGTCTATAAACAACTAATAAACAAGTGAAGACACCCTAGGACATGCTAAACACCTTTATCAAGTGTTATTAGCCTCTAGGATTGCATCTAAGTGTGTGTAGCAGAAGCTATTATGTGTAGGGCTCAAGGAAAACTCCATAAGGGAGTTCACGACCCTAAAGACACTAGTAAATGAGTTTACGGTCGTAAACTCATGAGTTTACAGCCGTAAACTCATATTTATGTGTCCATTTGATGTTTGATGCTCTATAAGGCCCTAATAAGTATTTCTACTTAATGGCTTGGTCTATGGAAGAGTTTAGGGCATAATATAACTCCTTTTAGGAGTTTATGGCCCTGGGACCATATCCCTTGGAGATTACGACCGTAATCTCCCTTGGGAGGATGTTTATGGTGTTTTCAAGTCCCTAAATTAACTAGGAACTAAACTAGGCTTTTGTACTTGGCTTTAGGAGGGTTTATGGCACCATTTGGCACCATTTAATGGAGTTCACGTCCCTGGAACATCTTGGGCCGTGAACACCTTTTTCTTGGTGTTCTAAAGGTGTTTGCTAGCCCCAAACACTCTAGGGTACTTTTCCTAATTAGTCTCTTGGCTTAAGGGGGATTTTTAGGGCATTTTGGCACTTAAACATGGAGTTCACGGCCCAAGAACTTCCTTGGCCGTGAACTCACTGTCATCCTTGTTTC